GCCAAGGACAAGCTCTTAAAATCCAACAGAATCACAAAAGCAATCAAGCTGCTTCAGAATTGGATATCAGTTCAAGGAAAAGGAAATTTCCATCAAGGGATGTAGGTTTTCTACCATCGAAATAAAGTCAGACGGATCCTTGGGCCTTGAAATAAACCCGGTTGTGTTCTTTACTGCATCATTTCATTCCAAAATGGAAAATTCCAGGTTGATAAACATGTACATCTATGGGGGGGTAAGCACCTAAGATGAAGTTATTTTAATACCAGAGTTGTTCTAATTTGTGGGATTTGTGTAAATTAAATGTAGCCAAAGCATTTGCATTGAAATAAACTTTGATCTTTTGAGTGCAACACATTGATAAAAATTGTTGGTAGCCCTTGTTTAATTGAAGATAAAACCTCTGTGGTCACAGAAATAATACCTGTGAACATAGAGCTGATGTGCCTTGGCAAAAAGTTCAATCTTTGTCTCATCTGTCCATGGGACATTCTCCCAGAAGCTCTGTTGCTTGTCAACATGTAGTTTGGCAAATTCCAGTCTGGATTTTTAATGACTTGTCTTCAACAATGGTGTCTTATTTGGCCATCTAACATTAATCCACATTAACATTAAGTCCACTTTGGCTCAAACAATGACGGAAGGTACGATCTGACTCAATCTGACTCGCAATAGTCCTATGGATCCTACATTTCTGAATGATATGTGCAGCTGTAGTCACTGGAACATCGAGCTGCTTGGAGATGCACTTATAGACTTTGGCTTTAACATGTTTGTCTCTAATTTATTTAAATCTCCTGGACAACTCTTTCCTTCACTTCCTCTGGTTCGTGTTGAGTGTGGTACACACCATGTCACCAAACAGCCCGGTGACCTGTAGCCCTATATATAGGTCCCCTGGCTCTTTAATAGATTGTAGAAAGCTGCGAAGCTAATTACTGGACACACCTTGATTTAACAGGAACCTTTGGTCACATTATTTTCAGATACCATATTTTTTTCCCAGGATTTTTCAGCCAAGCATGAACAAGTGACAAGCTATTTCTGTCTATTGGGGTTTTTTATTGTATTTAACCAGGTGTACCAACAAATGTGTCCACACATAGAATTAGTAATGGTTAGAAATCCATAAGGTTTAAGGATTTTTTTAGGGGTTGTATTGTTTTTTACACATCTTTACCAATATGCTAATATTTGGAGGGCGCTGCAAACAAAGTATTGCTGTGGAAATCATTTAAGTTACAGTAAATTAAAAAGAAAAATAACTTGATTTATAAAAATGTAAAATATAATTATAATGGCTGATAATTTGCCTAATTTCTAATAAATGTCACCTTTCTATGGTGGATTTTTATTTGACTGGCACTTTAATGCAAAAGAATTTTGACAGGTATTAAAAGGGACTTAACTGTTGAAACAGCTGGAGACATTTCATTAAGCAATCAGAAACCCTTCATGTTTTAACATTGCTGTCTTGTTTTTTTTTTTTTTAAAGCAGTACAAATTAAGAGGAATTAACTAAAAGAGGCCCCTTGAGTCTCTTAGTCTTAGCTAAAATCAGTGAAATCGATTAATCCCATTTTTTTATATATTGCAGGAGCTGCAATGTATGCAGGATAGAAGAAGTTAATCAGTACTAATATAAAATTTGGTGAAAAGGTGTTAAACAAACCGGCGTCCTGGACACCAAACAACTGAAATACACAATTTTATATTAGTAGGCAGAATTTTCCAAGTCCATGAGCCTTTTAATATGTTGCAGGCATCAACGAGTTGTTTTTTTTTTTTATTAAGAAATGAAGTGATTCAGAACAATTTTGTCTTGGAAATGTTCAAAAGATGGTCATTGACTCCATCTACATGGATTTAGCTACAAAAAGGTCACTTTAGATATAGATGGTTGATTAGCATGCTGCATTGCAGCATATTCACAAAAAGTTAAGTGGAAGGAAAAAATGGGATTGAAGCAGGTGCACAGAAGGTGCACCTAAACCTTTGTGTTTAGGGGACATTTACAAGGTGTTGATTGTTTCTCTTGTTGGAGCTTCAGCAGTGACAAGATTTACAGGGATTTGCTTCAGAATGCTCCAAGGCTGTTTCCTACCATTTTTCCTTCCACTTAACTTTCAACTTTATGTTGGACAACTATGAAGACAGAAGTCTTCCCCATGCTCATGAAGACCACAGCATATTAAAAAGCCTATTCTTCTTAGTCTCATGTTATGTCATAAATTCAGTTTTCTTAGCTGTATCCCATAATAAACAGACTTAAAAGAAACAAACATCTCATTCAGTGTTAAATTAACTTGAAAGATAAAAAATATGTTGTTTTCTTGTGAGACTATCAGCCAAACAGCTTGTAAAATGTGAGGATTTGCAGCTTTGCTTTACCTGATTTTGGGTAGATTCTTAACTATTTATAAAGGGATATTTAATTTCTAATTATTTATTCAACTCTTTCCACATTCAGGGGTCCTGTTGTCTTACATAGTAAGGCAGTTTATTAAAAAAAGCTGGATTCCCTAATAAGTAGAAATCGCTGCAGCTAGTTACCCAACACAAAGGTAGATCATAATGCTGCAGGTTTTATTGGGTTAAAATGAACCAATAATAGAAAAATAGAAAATCAATTTATTGTGTATTAAAGGACCTCAGAAATGAAAAAATAAAACCCTGCGGGAAAAAATCTGAATAAAAAGGTTATTGTAGATGGTTTGGGTGAACCATTTCCAACTAATTCATTGGTTGTTTTTTAGGTTGATTTGTATCAGAAAGAACTATATTTTGTTCAATTGCTTGTTGAACATTTTTTTTCACCAGAAAACTCTTTATTAAGAACATCTCATTGTAAACGGTCAACAATTTGGCACAAAGAGTCATGAATTAAATAGTATAACTTGGTATAGATTTGAAAAACAATGAGCAGCTGAGACAGATAGACATCGAGGAAAGATAAAAAAAAAAAAAACAAAGTTTAAGAAATGACTTGTTTCACAGAAAGCACCTTTAACTCACCACCAAAGTATTTACACCTCTCCTTTAACCCCAACAACCCAATGCAGAGGGAGCAGCTTTACCAAGACATCCTGTCCATAAATATCTCAATTTCAAATAACATCATCATCACCTTCATCATCAATGCCAGCACTGATTTACACATTTTAAATATATTTACAGCTTTGTGTTCACTGCAACAATCCAACTGAGGATGTGTGGACAGATCCACAGCCCAGTCAGAGATCAGCTCCACTAACAGACAAGTTGCACTCTGGGTGACGTGGTTTACAGAGACTTGTGCTTCCCCAGCAGGCAGAGGCTAAGCTGCAGCAGCCCCTTCATCCACAGGCAGTGAGCCAGGATGAGCAGCAGCAGGCAGGCGCCGGCCGAGCAGTAGACCCCGATCACCGTGCTCTCCTCCGGCAGGAAACATTTGGAGAGGGAATAACCGCTTGAGGACACCGACGCCTGTGGAAAGGAGGAGAGATGTAAGAGATGGGGCGGTCATCATGTGAACAGCCTGGATGCGGTTCACAGTAACGACTAGAGGACGTCCGGGAGCAAATAAATGTGGAATTTTTATGTAGCCAACAGTTGAGAAAGCCAATTAAGCTGAGTAAATTATAAGATTTATGTCCTACATACATGTTACAGAATGAAACAGAAATGCAACAAATAAATAAAAGTCACAAGCAAAATTCAGAAAAAAAGCATAAACAACGTTTTACAAAATCAGATTGAATAAAAATCCAGTCCAAAAATCTTAATTTAAAAATACAGATACACAAACAAACAAAAAATTTAGAATCTTATAATAAAAGAAAAAAGAAATTCCTAAATACTTACAGTAGCCTGAGAGAAAATTAAATACCAAAAGAACAAAAAAATTATAATTATTTAAGACATTTGTAACGCCACTCCTCATGTTGATGTTTTTCTAAAAACCTAACCTCTAAACCATATATCTGTGTTGTTGGACTTTTAAGCTTCTTTCAATTGTAAGCTGAGCCGATCACATACTGTAGGTTTTCATGTTTGTTTTCACAGCATAGCTGCTTGTTTATCAGTCTCTACCTGCTCTTCTTATAAAAGCATACATTTCTATTTTTATTCTGTATTTAGATAATTTTTTGAGTAAAAATGTGATAAAAAAAGGTTTGCATAGATTTTATTTTTTGCAAGTATTTCTACAGCAATCAGTCTGTAAATATAGAGCCTGGAAAAACCATGGATGGATGGATGGATGAATGGATGGATGCATGAACAAATGTATAGATCACAAACAGCATTCACACCGTAAAACATGGTGGTGGCAGCATCATGCTGTGAGGAAGCTTTTCTTCTGCGGGGACAGGAAAGCTGGGCAGAGCTGATGGGAAGATGGATGGAACTAAATACAGGACATTCCTGGAAGAAACTTGGATAGAGGCTGGAAAAGACTGGGGCGAAGGGCTCACCGTCCAGCAGCACGACGACCCTAAACATACAGCCACAGGTACAATGGAATGGTTCAGATCAAGCACATTTCATGAGTTAGAATGGCCCAGTCAAAGTTCACATCTAAATCCAGTTAAGCATCCATGGCAAAACTTAAAAATTTATGTCTGCTGATGCTCTCCATCCAATCTGACTGTGCTAGAGGTGTTTCACACAGGAGTGGTCGGCAATTTACTCTCTAGATGTTGGAAGGTAGTAGATGCCACAGCAGGAGTTGCCTCTACAAAGTATTGATTGAAGCAGACAGGCTGGATACAAATGCATGCAGCAAATGTCAGATTTCTACTTGTTGAACATTTCACATCCATGTAGCATTTCCTTTCACTTCTAGCAATATCCCTTCAATGGTTATAATGCATCACAAACTAAAGTTAAAATGTCCATGCATTTTAAAACACTGAGAAAAGGTGAAAAAAATCTGCCATAGAAGAATGAAGCAGTAGACATTGGATTTTTTTTCTTCTTTTAATACAGTTTTACAAAAGTTTAGTACGCAATGCCATATTTAGACTTAGAAGCTGTTAAGTTAGGAAAAAAATATGTATGATGTGAGTAATCCTGCAGAGGCTTTCTGTTCTCCCACTCACCAGGATGAAGCTGGGGTTATTCCTGTTCCTCCAGCTGAAAGACGGCACGCTGATTTCTGGGTACTTGTTGTCATGGAGAACCTCACATCCGCTGTGGGTGTGTCCGCTCAGGATGAGCCGGGGCTTAAACCACTGCAGAAGCTAAAGAAGAAAGGGAGAAGAAAAAAAGGCCAAAACCCCTTGAGAAGCTGCTTCCTGCTCTCCTTACTCCTCACTTTCATCATGCTCTGCGTCTGCTCCTCAACTCTAATACTGCTGAACTGCATTTATCTGGATGAAAGGGAGACTCACCCGCTGAGAAGCCTCTTTGGACAGCACGTCATACTTCTCTCTGAACAGCAGGTGTCGCTCCTCCGGCGGTGCTGCATCCTCCCCTGTGCAGCTGGCGTCACTCACTCTGTACAGAGGGTAATGCTGGAGGACCAAAACAGCAGGCAGATGTTAAACATCTGTATGTTAAATGTCGGAACAAGAGAGAAGACCCCTGGCCCTTCTATCTCATAACCCTAACCGATTCTGCAGAAATCCACCACTCAGGTAGGAGAATCTAAAGATGGGGAAACCTGTATCACCGATAGTGCGCTCAATAGAGCTGGTCTTCATGGATGAAAAGCTACGTGGAGGATTCAACAAACAGGTGGAAGAAGACCAAAGTTTACATTTTATGCAAAGAAGAAACGTGACAATCCCTTTGAGAAACCTTCTCAGGGAAGATACATGGTGGTGGCAGCGTCATGCTGTGGGAATGCTTTTCTCCAGCAGAAACAGAGAAGCTGGTTAGAGCTGATGAGAAGATGGATGGAGCTCAGTGCAGGACAACGGTTGAAAAAAACAACTGCTAGAGCAGCGGTTCCCAACCCGGGTCCTCAGGGACCCCTGCAGTGCATGTTTTAGATATGTCTGTTCCAGCACACCTGATTCAGATTAGAGCTTCTCCTCTACAATCAAGTGCTGCAGAAACCTGTTAATCGTCCGTTTTTTTTTGTTTGTTTGACATGAGGTCCCTGAGGAACGGGGTTAAGAACAACTACAGTATGCTAGAGGCTGCACAGTGCAACAGCCTGAAGGTTGAGAGCAAGGCATCTGGGTATGTTAGAAAGGTCCAGCTAAAGTCCAGAAATTCAATTGGGAATATGTGACAATTATGTTCACAGATGCCCTCTAAATAATCTTGCAGCATTTGATTGATAAGAGGAAGTGGACACAAAGTTCCTCTCCAGCTTTGAAAGCGTTGCAGCCTGATTTGTAGACATCTTTGAAACGTGATTGGACCGTTGATATCTGGCTCCTCCAATCGCAGAAGAGACCTTGTCTATTTAAACTCAGCTCACCTGTTATAGAGCTGCTAGGATTTAGTTTTAGCTACACTGAATAACATTACACATATAAAACATACAAATATGTTTAATTAATGAAATATATATTAAATGCAGTACTTCTATCTAAAAAGGATACTGTCAGGTTTAGGCTTTTGACTAAGAGTTTGGTAAAATGCTTTGTTTTAATTGGACATGCATTATTCTAAGATTTTGGCTTCTTTTGGTTTTTACAAATGTTTGTTTGTTGCTTAGATAGTAAAGTACTTTAATTTCTTTTTGCCTTGTTCATTTTCATCAGTCTGTGGTTTTATTTTTTTAGGCGTAACGTTTGTTCGGTTGTTTTTATTAGGCCTAGTACTCTCATTTTGTTCTGTTCATCCTAAATCCTCAACTGAAAAAGCAATAAAAGCAATACATAATTTTTGTTCCTAAACCTGCTGAAATGTTTAATGTAATGTTATTTCTCTTTTTCCCTGGCTGAGCTGGGAGGTTAGCAAGTTCTTCTACAAAGCTTCTAAGTACAAATGCCTAACTTGCCTAACCTCTATATAATATATTATAAAAGTAATTAAAAATCCTGTATTGATCCCAAAAGGAAAATAAATCTCATCAGAACCAAATGGATTTATTTTTCTTTTAGTTGTAACATCGCTCCTGGTGAAACCTACAGGGTGTAGGTCTATCGGCTCGAAATGTATTTGTTTTTGGTTTGTTTGATATGAGCGAGATGCGGATTTTATTTTTATTTTGTTATATTTACAGTACATGAAGAACTACAGAATTTTTTTTTCAGATTATACATAAATAGATTCATTAATTCCACAGGGGAAAAGGAATATTTTCACGGTAACAAGCAAGCCGTTTTGGTATTTACTAGTGCTACTGAATATGTATTCCTGATATCCGAAAAACCTTTTTTCATTGTCTAAATGACCATTTCAAACAAAATGACATTCTCCACATCTAGAATAAACATTCTGGTTGTCTAGGAATTAAATTCCAATCTCCACATTTCTAATATTACTGGTCAGGATTTCTATTATTTTAACTATGAAGAAATGTTTTTCTAATATCAAAAATACATTTTCAGTAAAGCTGATAAATGTCAGAATTGCCAATGTATAAACATTTGTAGATATATGAAACTTAATTCTTATTATAATTTTTTTTTTTACTTTCTTAAATTGGTATCAGGTACAAAACAGTAATTTAGAAAAAAAATTATTACTGTTAGGTTATTTATATATTATATATTATATTTCATATAAACTTACGCATAACTTGAGCAACCATCTTATCCTTTGCCACCTTCGTCTCCTTTGTAGCTGTAGCACAGTTTCTCTGTCTTTTAAACACTTTCTCCTTCTTATTAGATTTTTTTTGCATTTCTGCATTAAAATCTCTAGCTCCAGTGGGGTTAAATATGCACTCCTGTTGCCTGTTGTCATGGTGACTCGTCAAATCGGTGCTCAACTGAAAATTGCTTTTCAAACTTGCGCACACGTTTAACTCTGAGTGGACCTAGTAAAATGGAATGAATTAATTGATAGCAGCCGTTGTGAAACCAAACACTCAGATTTTCCGACTTTTGGCTAGATCAATTCAGAGTTGAGGATTTTAATCTGAATTTGTTAAACCTGCTTCGACAGACCCCCGGCATATAAAAGAATTCCCTCAGCATAATGCTGCCCCCACCATGTTTCACCATATTTTCATTATTTCTACACAATCTGGAACTTAAGTATTTTAAGTTTTGCTCTCATGTAATCAGATTATCTTCTAAATGTCTGCTGTACCCTCAGAGAGGCCTGTGACAGACTTTAAACAGGACGTCTAAAATATTGTATTAAAAACAGGTCTTCTACAGACCACTCTTCCATAAAGAGATTAATGCATCCATGGTCTCCTCTGTTTCAGCCACACAATATTCAGATAAATTACAATGAATTATAAGACAGCAAAATATTTTCTTAAGCTCCTTTTATTTTACCAGATATATTTATCATTTAATCATCATCTCCTCTCTGTGAATGAATGAAATCAAATCTCTGCATGCAGCAGGTTTAGAGAATAGCCCAGCTTACCTGCAGCATGATGGGGGCGGTGGGGGGATACGTCTGTGAGCCCCCACATTTCTCTGTCTCTTTGCTGTCAGACTGCGACTTCTGCACAAGATAGACATTCAGAAGTTGGTTTGTACTCATCAGGTCTGATCTTCACAGACTCTAAATAAGAGGCACTAAATTGCACATGTAATTTTTTTTATACTCCATGCAATAAGTGGATGTGTTTTGGGGGATCTGCAAAGATTGCTGCACAAATGTTAAGACATGCAAACTGGTTTGGTTGCACCCAGTAAATTGAGCAGATTGGGTGTTCTACTGGCAGTTTGAGAGTGGCTGTAAAAGAAAGATGAGGTTCACAGCCTAGAGGTAGTACTGATAATTATAAAGAAAGTACCATATTGGCCCGAAAATAAGACAAGTTTTTTTTTTTTTTTTGCGTAAAAAACGATGTGAAAATGTGGGGTCATCTTATAATTAGGGACTAATCAATTATACAGGCTGACAGTTGTCAAACACAGCAGCAGAGGGCACCATTTTTTTGTAAAGCCAGTGACCTCATGGTGATGAGAAACTGTGGCTGGGGTCGTCTTTCTATCACAACAGAGAAGAAGTGACAAGAATGCTACAAATGGAGAGTAGCTGCCGAGAAAGGAGTGGATCAAAAGTCAGACAAAGTTGACATTTGAGGCGGACTTTTGACGCCAATTTTAAAATTAAGGTGGTCAACGCAGTGGAGGCATCAAAAAGCTGTCAGGCAGCAAAGAGATACGGAATTACAGAGTGCAATGTCAGAATATGGCACGTTCAAAAGGTTGTAAAAATGCAAACAGCAAAAGAAAAGCTTATCAAAAACTATCAGAGCTGCAGGGAGAGAGTAGGAGTGACAGCGTGCGCAGCGAGGCAGAGGACTTCTGAGAGTAAAAGCCTCCTGCAGGTTTTTGAGACATTCTGTGAGCATAGTTCCGATTTCATTCGAGTCGCAGTGTTTCTCAATAAAAAAAATAGTTTCTTTAAACAAAATAAATGTTCTTTATCAGTCTCTTTTTTTTTCTTTGGTCTTTTTCTTTTTTCCTAAAAACTGGTCCTGGAAAGTGGTCGTCTTATAATCAGGATATATCCTATATTCGGGTCAGTACGCTAATAATAATAATTATAGTGCAGCTTGTATCTCTTTAAACAAAGAGCTCTATACAAAAGTAAAAGAAAAAAAAAATTGTGAACTGTCTGCTGAAATGGAAACAAAAATCACTTTGCTCCTTCCTTAAAGATCTGCTTTGAACCTACAAACACGTTTGCATCTGTTTTAAGACATGGGAACCTTCTGAAGATCATGCCCTTAGTGTTCGTCATCACTTTTACCTCTAATTGTTCCAACCCTGTAAAATGATGCCATTTACTGTAAAAACTGCAGGAAAAGAACAAAACACCCCGTCTGCTTCATGGACTGAAAGTACTGCAGGATTATTATCTTTTCTTCACACTTCTTGAGTGCCAGCAGCAAAGAGTGAGCAGATTGCTGATGCTGTGAGATATGTGGCTTTCAGGAATTTGTTCTCACCTGAAGCGAGCAGTTGAGGTCCTTGGAGAGTTTGATCAGGTCTTTTTCCACTGACTGGCAGATGGGACAGCCGTCACCGTGCAGGGCCACGCTGTTCACCAGCAGGAAGCTGCAGACAGGCGGCAACACAGCAGCACAAAGGTTTTATTCTGCATTGATCTGCAGTTTAGGTTTTTTAGGCTTTAGAGGAAACTGTTTTCTTAAATAGATTTTAAAAGTCTAGGTTCCTAAAAATGATGGACGGATTGTTTTAATAAAGCAAGATTCAGACCGTTGGATATTTAAAAATGTTTGAATGCAGAAATACTTTTTTCTTATACATTTTTATCCAGACCTGGAAAACCCTTCAATGAAAAAGCTGCAGACGAACAGAACAGTGGATGATAATGATCCTCTGAATAGATGCCACAATAAATGACCCCTTTTCACACTGACACATCGTTTGCACGCTGCTCTGGTGCAATTCTGTGAACATATTGATCAAATCTACAGCAGCAACAGCTCCACCTAAAACATTATAACTCAATCCTTAGCAACTTTTTAATGCAAGTAATTTTGATCTATTCATTTCAATATGAAAAGCTTAAAGGAAATCGTTTTTTTAACCTATTGGTTAAAAGCTAAAAACAAACTAGAAATTGCACCATAAGAGTTGCATATAGTAACCTTAACCCTACAGAGGTGTGTCTATTCCTCAAGGCATGTGATACAGTCTGCAGGGAACGGGACAATGCTGGGAAAACTCAGCAAGGTCTGCTTCTTTAAAAGGAATCAGAGCTGCAAAATGCACCTATGCAGCAAAAACACAGGGGCACCTCTGCAGCACAGGCGATACATGAACCGGGCAGAGATTCCAAGCTAAAAAACACACAGAGGGCAGAGGACAACTGTTTCGTTTCTCTTTAAAGCAAAAACTAGGTAAAGATTTGGTCTTTCTTTACCATCTGATCTGTTCAGCCTTTATAGGTGAGTCAGGATTCACCCGTGGAAAGAAGCAGGTGCTGATAACAGCCCAGGATGAGGCTGGTACTGATGTGGGTGACAGCTTTAACATTTCCATCTGTCTGGTTATCGTCTCTAAATGCTTCACTTTTTAAAACTTTGGTAATATTTTTGAAGGAACTGCCACTTAATGCTGAAATCTTTTGTTTTCATCATGCACCGTGTCTTAACCTGGAAAATGACATTTTTTTCAACTTCCTACAGGTACATGATCAACCTCAGCACAGGAAAATCCTTTATCTAAGGCCAGCTCTGTCCAAGCATGTCCCCTCAACCAACCGCAGGTGATGAAAGACAGAGGGACTCATGCTAATCAGCATCCCTATTGGACAATGCACTTCTGCACCCAGTGCACTACTTTTGTTTTAAATTTCACTTGCAAACCATGAGACTCCCACCAACGTGTTTCCAGTTCTGAGTTAGATTTTTGTCCTGTGCCTTACACATCTGGAATTATAATCAAGATATTTCAGTTACTTTGAACTAGTCAAAACTATATTTTTTAAATATCCCAATTATTAAATATCCCCCTAGTGCTGTCACTGAGCTATTCTTACAGTTGCCTGCAGACTTTTGCATGGCTGCAATGGTGCTGACTCTTCTTGACAAAGTTGTTTCAAAATGCCCCAATATAGAAAGAACTCAGCAGTATGGGATGTGCGGAGAATAACAACTTTCTGAACTCTAAGGACCCATTTCAGTTTAATTATAAGTTTTTTCATATATTTAAACTTTTTATGTTGAAATTTTGAATTTTTCTTCAATAGCTTCTCCTCTCCGCTCCTCTCATCCCTTCACCAGTGTTGCCAACTTCCCAGCAAGAAAGGCCGCTATTGGCTGTCCTAACCTAGATAATGCCTGTCGTCCAATCAATGGTAAATAGCTTCACTTCGATGGACCTGTTAGCATAGTTTTAACTCATTCATTGCCAGCATATAGTCTAGCTTACTTTAAATTATCCAATAGAAGCAAAACTGATTTTCTTATAAACAGTCTATGTTATAAAATAAATACTCTAAATGAATATTTGAAAGGTGAATAAAATTCTTAGATTTTATACAGGCTTATTTCATTTTCAGGGTAATTCTTATGTATTTGAATTTGTTAGTAGTTTTTTTTTTCAGATTTTGGAAATTATTTCAGCTGTTTCAATTTAATTAATTGAATTTGAATAAAAAAAAATCTTGACTTGAAAACATTCAGATATTAATTTGTAATGTTTTATGAGGTTTTTTTCAAAATCTTAAGAGATTAATTGCCAAAAGACTCTACAAAGTAAAATCAAAGAAGTGTCCTACCATGACTATGAAGCTGATTACAGTGGGAAATGAGTCCCTATGTATATAGGAGCAGTGATAGCCATGCCAGTCCAGGGACTGACTGCAGCTCTACTGTGAGGTGCCTTGGTCAAGTTAAATGGCCAGTGTACCTGACATGTAACAACCATACCATGCATAGTGCTATAGGTTAATGGAATACATTAATTAGGCTATGTATACTTCCAAACTACAAAAAAAAAATCCACCAACCCCCCTTTTATTTATTTTTTTTTACAACTCGACTACCGATTGAAACATATTTGACTGCGGTAGTACTTTGTTTTCCATTTTCAAAATAGAATAAAACACTAAAAATCCATTGCACAGAGAGCATTATCAATTGCCTATTGACAAGTTTGTCATAAAAAAAAAAAGGTTGATTCAAGAGCTAAAAGTGGCTTCCAGCCTGCTGAGTCACATGTTTGTCCTGCAGCATTACATGTGTGTTTCTACTTCCTGCCACTCACTTGACTCCCTTTTTGGTAACAATCCTTGTGGAGGAGGCGTTGAAGACCTTTTCAAAGCGCTGCAGCTTGAACCAGTCCATCCTGCAGGGGAGACACAACAAGACAACAGATAAACTGAGTGTTAGAAACCTGCTGCTAAAGCCTGTCACGTCAGCCTTTCATGGGCTGTTACATAAGAGCCGTGGCGCTTCGCTCCCTGCTGCACGGATTGGAATCAAAGCGTCTAAGAGCAGCCGCATGCCGACATAATCCCACATCTAGGAAGCACATGCGTCAAAAATTCATCTGCGAGATTATTTTCTGCATAAGTTGGCACTTCCCTTCTTGTAAAACATTTACAACAAGGAGAGGAAAGCATAAACACAACATTCTGGCAATATAAAGCAACAAAAAACAACCATACTGCTTTAAAATGATCAAAACCACATGAATTTGAACTAGAACCGCTCCGATAGCTGGATTCTGACATATACCTCTAAATAAAGTAATATTTTTTAGTTTACTTAATAAAATAAACATTACTTGGCAAATTTATTAAAAAAATGGCAACAGATAAACGGCAAAATACTGACTGTTGTTTCTAGAGCTTTTTAATTAAGGTTTAGCCAAATGTAGGCAATACTAGAGAACTATATATGTTAACAAGTCAGATTATGATAATGCAGATTAAACAAAGATTTCAATTTAAGTCAAATAAAGGTTAAATAAAGATTTTAATTCTAATCAAATAAAGATTTAAGTTAGATGCAGCACACAAACATTTGATCACAAATTAACCAAACACGTCAGAACTGGACGATTTTTCCACAATCAGCACCAAAACTAAGATTTCCCACCGCATATCTGGTCACTGAAAGCATCAAATAGAAAATATTTTCTCTTGCGCAATTTGAGCTTAATAAAAACAAAGAATGTGCTTTGATTCATACAGTTAATGAGGATTACATTAAGTTTCCTTTAGACTTTTTAACATTTCTTCCTTTGATTTCATTGCACTTGATTTTCGTTTTTCTGGCAAAATACATTTTCAAGCACAGAATTTAATAAGAAAATAAAAAAAAATAAGAAACTTTCTAGTTTTATTGTGTAAAAGTTGCTCTCAACATTTTCCCACACTTATATAATAGATACTGTATATTTTTACCACCCCCCGCCCACTAATACCTGGCATGCCTGCCAATAGAAACCGCAGCTCGTCTTCATAGACAGATGCTGACGTTTTTCAGCTAAGCTGCAGCTCCTTATTGGTCTCTGCAGTCATAGTGAAGGCAGGATCAGAGCCTTCTAGCAACTGTGCTGCCCCACCAGTTCAGTTAAGCGTTCAGCAACACAGAGCACCCAATAAAAGTGTGTTTTTAGGAGTAGAAAGATTTTCTTCAAATAAAGCAGGAAAATCATATCACATGAATTGTATTGCCTCTATCAAAAACACTTTCAAACCAACACCGGCCATCACCCTGCATTTTCCCTCCCCATCATGACGCATAGCGGTGGTAACATCATGGTGTGGGGAAGCACTTCTTTTAGCAGGGACAAGGAAATTGGTCAGAGGTGATGGGAGAATTAAAGGTATAGAGGAGGATGTTCTTTTTGTGGGTGGATCATCAAAATAAGTGGTCCTACTAACTGTCAATCATTCTGGTGATACGTTTACATGTTCGTCCCCATTTCCACTTACCGGTGGTGAGTGACATAGTGGAAAAATTTCAAATCTTCTTTTGGAAAATAAGCTTGTATGAGTGATGCTAACAGCAACTTTTAAACAGAGCGTGCACGAGGAGAAATGGGCTCTGCATACTCTCTCACATGTTTAATAAGCATTCCCTCTCGGGAGCAGGTACAGGCTGCGAAAAAAAAAAGAGAGGGCCGATCTTTTCAAAAATCTGCAAAAATCCTTCACTATTGTCATGATTGGACCCCCGTAGCTTATGTGATTACACACTTCATTCACCTGCCGTTCCCTCCCCGCTCTCTAATTATCATCCATCTTATTCACCTGGTGCCCCTGCTATATAGACGGTTCAGCCCAGCTACTGGGGCCAGATAATCATTCTTTGTTTATTTGTGTTATGTATTCGTGTCAGTTGTTCATGTCTGTTTTCAAGTTTTAGTTAAGTTCCTGGTTTATGCCCTGACTCTTGGAGGCCTTTGGATTGAGAGGGTGTTAGTGTTTGTCTCCTGTCTCCTGGTCATGTCGCGTCTCTTCTCCGCTAAGCCCTCAGGGTATTGGCTTAGGGTGCGGGGGAGCTTCGGTTCTGGTCCTTCTCTGCGGACCCCTCAGGGTTTTGGCTCGGAAAGCAGGAGGCCTTTTTTAATTCCCGTAAGCCTGGCTCCAAGGTGGAGACTGGTTCAGAATTCTGCAGTAATTCCGGTACCATGTCTTGTCTCTGTCCCTCAACCAATGAGCCTGCATATCTCCATCGGTACGTGTCTGTCTGAGCATGCTGCTGGAGTCATGGAACTTGGAACCTGCCGGAACACTCTGTGAATTCCTGGGACCCTGGATGTTCCTGTTCGGATCAGAATCCTTGGTTGGGCTATGGACTCCTGGATCTCGGAACTGTCCGGTTCTGAACTGTTTCTCTGACCTGGATTTGTCTCCTGCCTGCTCACTGGGGTTGCTGCATCGGGGACACTTTGGACGGCTCTGCGCTGCATCTTGTTTGGCAGTCCATCAGCTGGATCTTGCCTTCCTTGGACAGGATGGACTGAACTGTTAAACCAGGTAAGTGACTCACACGAGTAATCATCTCCTTTCAGATGGTCGCGGTCACTTACCTGTATTTCTCTCTCAAGAGTGCCAGTGATTGGGTGGTGCTCCGCCCCCCTGTAGCTTCTCTTTTGTTTCTGTCTTTATCATTTGTCATTAAAAGTTTTGAAACTTCCCATTGTCTGACTCACTTGAATACTGGGTCCATCTGTACCCATTTTCTGACACCTATAATTTTAATCGGGCAAGCAGGATAGAAACCCTTAAAAGACATCCAGAGTTACATAGGAATTGTTTCAACCCAAGCATTTTTGATAGGTCTAGTCAAAGTTCAGACCAAAATGTGAGTTAGACTTAGAAAACACACAAACACTGATAGACAATCTTAATCAAACTTAATTGAGTTTTAGCTTAATTAAAGATTGTTGCTAGATGTGCAAAGCTGGCAGAATCTTTCCTCACAGATCTTCCATCTGTAACTGGAGGGAAAGCAGGGCTGAATACAAACGCCTTCCCCATTTTGCAAACATTTTCCTTCAGCATCACAATTATACACAACAATAAAAGCCACACATGAACTATGTCCTTTTCTAGGCCTGTGTATTAGTTTTAAAAGCGGAGCTGGGTGTCTTTCTGAAAGCACAGAGGCTCTGTAGGTCCGCAACGGTGGAAAGATCCCTGCTTGGCTAGACCTTTGTACAGCAGGGCTGATGTTAAAGGAACCTCAGTCATTGAAGTCCTTTGTGTTTTTTAAAGGAGTGTAAAGCCTGTGTGTTCTCATTCCTCCAGGTGCCTAACCCCAAGGCATTATCTGACAGAACTGTTCTTGATTAGCTCACACCTAAAACATTCCCCAAAGCTTTAAGTAATGTTGACAAACTTGTCTTATCTTCCGTTTTTCCAGTTCTACAGCAGAGAAAAAAATGCTACACTTTTTCTGAGGCTTCTGACATTTCAAATATATTTCTACCAAACAAGGAGTGTTTCACTGTTGTCAGGGAGTGCAAGCTCTGACCGGTGCAGTCTTTAATTCACAAAAAGGTGATCAACAGCTTTACTTCACAAAAGAAACACAGCGAAAATAGAGGCATTGTTTGCTTACTCATAATGGAAACCAATGTCGTGATTGCCGACCAGCACGACCAGTTCTGTGTCAGTGGAGTGTCTGAACATCCTGTGGAAGCGGCGCACGTCATCTTCCCAGTGCTGCAGAAAAGGAGAGGAAGAGGATTTAGATCAGGGCTCTAATATGAAGAAAAAAATCACCTGAGAGATTCTTAATAAGATCCCCAAGGAAGGTTGAGGTGGCTGCTATGAGCCCCCCCCCCCCACAACAGGCCCTTAATTACATCAGGGGTTTAAAGTTTTATATGATGAGGCTCTAATTGGACCTGAGACGCTGCTTTTCTATTAGAGCTGAAGCTATTAACATATGAGGGGATTTATGAGGGAGAGGAGTAAAAAATACTGTTTATCATCTCATACATGTTTAGATTACTGGCTAGAAAGAGCATAAAATAAATCATAGAAGTGGTAAACTATTAAGATCTTTACGTTTCTAAACCATCAAGCTTTGATTTTTCAGTTGAGGTTTACCAAAAGTAAACAAAATCAATTTGAATACTTTGTTTGAAAACTTACAGCTATGAATCTCTTATAGTTGTGAAAATATTTTGTTCATGTTTTATTCACTAGTTAAATGGATTTTTTTAGTAAAACAAAAAACAAATTCTTCTTTAAAAACTTCATGCACAGATATGCTTTTTTATACTTCTCTAAAAAGCTAAATATGGACATGATTGTGCTTTATGGGAACTTTGGTGAAGCAGAAGTATTATTTTGAAAGTTCTGTTAAATTTACTGTAGATATTTCTGCAATTCTTATGCTAAAGATGGATGAATGGATAAAAATGCTACAAAAAAAGACACCAAACAGTCAATAAAGCAATAATCTTCAGCTGCTTTCACTATTTTCAGAGCTTCTGTTGCAAATTTTAGACTCAATTTTCGTTATTTATGTGCTATATAAACTAAAGAAGAGTCAGCTTGTCAGGACATACTGTAATTATAGATCAATCAAATACTGGTCCAGTATAAACACACCATGCAGCCTTTAATGCATGTTTTTCATTTGTTTTTTTCTGCTCCAACTTGAAGGATTAGGATGTTCATCCTATTATTTTACCGTTTGAATTAAATAAACAGCCATCCCAGTGTGCAGAGATGGATGCAGGCTGCAGATGTTTGCAGGAGACCCTGCAGTCTGTGGGCCCAAACGGTACCAGAACCTCTTGTTTGGATGCAGATCGTCCACATTATGTGGTAGTTTGATCGTTTTCTCACAGATTTTTTATTTTTAACAGCATCTTTAGTTGAATCCTAAGCAGTGGTGCTGTATTGCGGAGCTGAACATGGAGCTCTGTTACCTTCTGGGAGCTCCACTTGCCTTCGTCGAAGATATCCCCGAGAATAAAGACTATTTCGGGCTTTAGGAGCCAAAGCGCGGTCTGGAAAGCCCTCTCCATCTGCCATTCCCTGCGTTTGGACACAATCCCGACGTTATTCGGTGGATCGGTGGCTCACATCAGTGATAATTAAAGGGATGGATAAAATGGAGATGGTACCTCCTGAGCTTGTCGAACCAGTGGCCCCCCACAGCTCCGAGGAGATGGGTGTCTGACAGCACCATGGCGCGGAGCGCCGGCTCTGCGCCCTCCCCGCCCCGGGCATGGCTCAGCTGCGGCCAGGCGCACTTCAGGATGGTCGGGAAGTAGATGAGATACTCGCAGAAGAAAAAAGAGCCGCAGACCACCGAGAGAAGCAGCGCCGCGACCACCGAGCTGCCGCTGAACTTCAGCATTTCTCCGCGGATCGGTGCTCGGGATGCCCTGAACCGAGCCGCCCGTGAGGCATCTCTTCAGCTCAGCCCCGCTTTCCTCCCGCAGACCCGCGGGGTTTGTTTTAGGATGCCCAAGAAGGATGCTCTGGTTAAAAAAAGACCAAGCAGTATCTGAAAAAAATAACTAAATAAAAATCTGGTTTTGTGGGGTTCGGTGGGGTTCGGTGGGGCCAGACAGAGAAGGAGGTGAGTGGAAGTTGAGTAGGGCCACCGCTCAGTGAGGGAGACCGCAGCGGGCAGCATCAGTCAGCCTCTGTTTGGCAGCCTTTCAACGGTCAAGCTGGAATCAACACTTCCGGTTAGAGGTTTCCAAACTAAAGCAGCTTAATACTATTCTACGGAAAAAAGAACAGATTTTTGAATTTTATTTCAGTTCAGTATGGGTGAAAAGTCACAATTCTGACTTTAATCTCAGAATTTTTACTTTAATCTCAGAAATCTGTTTCTCCCCCCCCATAATTCTAACTTTAATCTCAGTATTCTGACTTTTATCTCAGAATTCTGACTTTAATCTCAGAATTCTGTCTTATTTTCTCAGAATTCTGACTTTTTTTTCTCCTCAGAAATCTAACTTTAATCTCAGAATTTTGACTTAAATCTCAGAGAATTCTGACTTAAATCTCGGAATTCTGACTTAAATCTCAGAGAATTCTGACTTTAATCTCAGAAATCTGAATTTTTTTCAAAGAATTCTGACTTTTTTCTCAGAATTCTAACTTTAATCTCAGTATTCTGACTTTAATCTAAAAATCCTGACTTTTTTCTCAGAATTCTGGCTTTAATCTGAGAATTCTGACTTTAATCTTAGAATTCTGACTTTAATATCAGAATTATAACTTTTCACCCACATTAAACTGAAATAAAATGTAAAAAATTTTTAACTTTTTTTTTTTTTCCCAGTGGCCCTATTCTTCTTCCGTACTATTGAAATATCATCCAAATATAGTATTATTTTGAAGCAGCTGGGTACATATATGTTAACTAATTTCACAATTTCTTTATATTCTATTTTTTACATAACATTATAATAATAATGGAAATACTAAAAAAGAAAAAGGAATTTTCTAATAAATTGACAGAAGTTTTAAATACACAAAAGCCATTTTACTGGTTTGCTTTGCAACAAAATTAAAGCATATACTTTTCTTTGTGAAAACTATAGTGGAGGATGTGTCTTGGTGGATCATCAAAATAAGTGGTCCTCCTAATCGTCAATCATTCTGGTGATATGTTTACATTCTTGCCCCATATTTCCTGTCTTTCTGCATTTAAAACATGCTATATGGAAAAATGTGAATTTTTAACATCTGTGAAGCTTTATTGCAGTTATTTATTTTTTTGACAGTAAGTCTCAAATGTATCATTTAATGTAAAATGAATGTTACAATAACTAGAGCATACACAGAGACACACAGGTTTATTTTTCATAAAGTCCAAATAAACTAGTATTAGCAAAGAGTCCATATGAGTATAAAGAAACCAGGTTTGTGAATTGTTGCCGGCCAAATAACATTGTTGATGTTGTTATTACAGATAGATTAAGGTCTAACATATGAAAACTAGTAAACCTTTTTTTATCTTTAGTTGTATCTATTTAAAAAAATAAAGAACACAATTTGTATATCGACCTGCAAAACAGTGGGTGCAATTAACAACATTCCACAACATATTTAAAAACGAAAATGGGCTAGTGTTGAGGCTTTTACTTTGAAATAATACCCAATTTCCGGTTAAGCTCATTCTCACATATAACAGCTTGACTGAGAGGACGCAGAAAATATATGAAACCATTTTGAATAAAGGATTTTTAGAGGCTTAACGTGATTCTGGCTGTGATGAAAATGTTTCTGCTGGTAAATAATAATGTGATCAGGGATCAGTGGAGACAGACAGATGGAAAGAAGGCAACAGCTATGGGACAAATGAGATTAAGTGATTTAGAGAAGGAATCTCATCAGCAGCAAACTGCTTATGAGTGCAGCCCCTTGGCCCTAATGACACCCGTCTAATTGTGTCATCAGAGGAGAGTTAGTGGCTAAACTGGTCGATTTGGCGAGTCTCTGCCCATTCATTTCAATAAGACCCTTTAAACATCTATCGCCTAGAAAATGTAAGATGTGATACAAAATAGGGAAGCAGATGAGTGAAAAGCTGAAGCATATATGGAACATGGATGAAGCAGTATGTTTGAAGACTTAGAGTGCATAAGGTTCTTTTTCACCCTGTGTTGCACATTTTGTTCCCTAACAATCACAAACTTCGCTTTAGATTATTCAATATTTCACCACAAAATAGTGCATAATTTTGAGGTGAAAGAAAAAAATAGGAAGTTTTTATTTTATTCATTAAAACATCCCCCTTGATAGTGTGGTTTGTTATAAGGTATGAGATAATATTCCAAGCTTTGTGAGTCTATAAGTACTCACCTATCATGTAGAAGTGGAAAAAGGATGGTGCAGTTGCAAAGCTTATCGAGACATGGCTATCCTCCTGAATGACATAAATCAAGATGGGAACTCTGGAGTAGCTGTAGAGATGTATAGCTCAGGTGGGATTATCAATTAACAGGACTGCGGTTTGAAAAGAGACTTTGCAAATCTGCTTGTTGGTAAAATGAAAGCTATATATGACGGAAAACCATCAAAACGTTCTGGAAAAAATGGCCATAAGTCATGTGGAGGGTGCATTTATTCAGCATGGTTGGAGCAGAACCAGGGCAAACCCACAAAAAAACTTTTCTGAAGCAAGGTTTCCTCTTCTAGCAAGACAGCAATGCAAACCATAGAGCCAGAGCTTACATCTTTGGGTATAAATCAAAGTAAGTTAGAATGATATAGTAGTCCAGACCTTAATCTCATAGAGAACTGAAAAAAGATATTGCCTCTAGATTTGAAAATCTGGTAGATCCATTGCCAAAAAAGCTGCAGAGTTAGAGCTGTATTTTAAGATATATGGCAGAATCTAGATATACTCCACTACATGTTGGAGGTTGTGATGGTAAAGTGACGAAAATGTGGAGAAATTTTGCAGCACTTTAAATGAAAGGGAGGAAGAAACCTTTTATTTTTTTCTATCCAGATGGGGATCAGCATTATCCACCACCTTTAAAGGATATAAAGAAGGATCTGCATGCACTGACTTCAAACTGAACCAAAGTCTTTTTGCAGCTGTAGGACAGATGTATAATTCTAAGGACTCTTATGTCACCTATTGGCTTTCCTTATATAAATGATGGAAGTGCCTTTGGCTGCAGTAAGATCTTCCTGTAGGTCTTTGTGAGTACAACTAAGCATAACACCAGCTGTTATTCCTCCATTTATTGGAGCCGCTTGTTCTGTTCTGTTTTGCTGTAGATTCAGAGAAAGTTTAGTCGCAAGTGAAGCAGCTGTTAAGCGTTGTTGAACTGTTTCTGAAAGAAAAACATGCAGCTCTTGTTTAGGTGCATCTCTGTTGTCAAAAAAATATATCGTTGATAGGGACGCCATTGAACTTAGAGGTGTAAAGCATCCACTTACCCCCCCTATTTTAACGTTTTTACTCTGGTGACCAAAATTAAATCCAAGTCATCCTAAAATTATTGTCTGTTTTATTAATTTTGTGGTTTAATATGGATTGCAAACATGAAAAATTGGGCTGGTATTGATATCCGACATAATGGACTTAATGGCCGATAGCCAGTATTTACCAATACTGTACCCATTATACATCCCAACCTTTCTGACAGTGAAAAAAAAAAAACCCTGAGTGCTGACATTGCTTTATTTGCTTCAGATAAACACCCATAATCCTTTGCTGCGACACTATCCGATCACCCCTCCCCTCCTTCTGAAATATAAATCAGCAACTTGATAGAAAAGAATATCGGTTGTTAACATCGGCCCAGTTTTCCTTGTCAGGCTGATAAGCATATCTTCACTCCAGGAGGCTAATGCTAGCCTGAAATTTCTCCAAATTTGAATCACCTGACTCGATCTGTCATGCCCAGATGACAGAAAGTTGTGTTGAATATTCACAAACAACCCAGAAATCAAGAGTCAATAAGAAGATGTTGGAATAGTGTAATTGTCCAAAGAGAGAGCAGCTTTAAAAGAACCTAAAGAACCTCCAAGCATGTTGGTGGCAGCATCATGCTGTGGGGCATGTTTTTCCTGCTACTGGTATTAGGCAGAGTGGATGTAGATCAAGACAGAATCAATGCCTTCAAACAACTCTTTACATACTTTGTTTATTATATGATTTTTTTTGTTGGTTTTTTCAAAAAATCAAACCAAAAAACATGCATTCAGCTTTTCCTAACTACTGTTTCTAGGCTCTAATCACATAAACAAAGACAAAACCTTGGCTGTGTGCACAATCACAGCCAAATAAATTCACCACCTCCAAATTCTTCAGCTCTACCAGAAATCAATGGCCAGGGAATGAAAGTTGGACTTTTTTGTCATATTTCTGCATTGTTTATTATTGTAGGTAATGAATTACCACAATCATAATATTTCTCTGTCTATTTTATTTCTTATGTTCTGTTATTTTTGCATTTTATTTTATACTTTAATGTCCATGTTAAGCATTTAATTCTGTGTTTATTAGTCACCCCCTTTCAGTTTCCCTACACAGCTGCTCTTCATTCCTCTGAAAAGACTCAGCTGGTTTCATGTCACTCTAAACTCCTCCCCAGTGTTTAAGCTTCCTGGTTTCTATGATTCCCTGCTAGTTTCGGCCTTTGTGATGTTTGAGTTTCTATGAATCTGTGGACCGCTCAGCTTTAAAAGAAAAACCACATCAACAACAGCAAAAAACAGTTATTTGAGGCATTAACAGATAATTCACTGACATTCTGCATGTTACATATATGAGATACTTAGGCAAGCTGTTGGTTATCTTGATACAGCATGTAGGGGCGCAGTATGGAGTGTTGGGGGGATTAGGAAGATTCTAAGGGCCCATGACTGAGGGAACAGATATGGCTATAGTGCCACACCCACATCATTTGACATGGTGATAATAAATAAAACAAATGAACAGGAAAATGTGTAAATAAGCAGCAGGGTGGAAAAAAACGTCTGCGGCTAAAGAATGCAGCGCCGCAAGAAAACAAAGTCTGGGTTACAAAAAAGCGCAGAAAGACGAGAGAAGGAAGAAAGGTGTCCAGTATGGGATCCAGTTTTTCAAGAAAGGTTTTTTACCTGAATAGTTAAAACTAACAAAAGATTATTAACCTGTTGAATAAAATAAGTTAGCT